ATTGTCGTTGGATAAGCAGTATGCTGGAATGGCCAATGGGATGCCTCATACTCAGTTTTAACTTGAACACATTTCTGCAATGCAAAGCTCCTCTGACACCCAGATTATCAGTAACTCCTGGTCTGCTCACAAGAAGACCTCTTGGAAGTGTTGTCTGTTGATTTACTTGTTGCGTATATGCGTGTCTATTTTTCTATGAAAATCAAGTAAAGGGGCTGGGTTTAGACCTATCTATGCAAGGGCAGAAATAAAACAATGCTACAAGTCTTGAGTAAAAAACAAGAATTCGGTGGAAGCTGGAGGTTACCATGGAACTCGCCATTCCCTGACCAGAATTCCCAGAAACATAGGGAGGTACTTGTGACAAGATGGGAAAGCTGGGAGCTTGAGCTAATTTTATTTTGAGCTTAGGAAACTGAGTGATTCTATCCAATGTCTGAATTATATAACACATTTTTATTTTAACATAAAGCAAAATATTAAGAAATGAAGTTTCCTGCCTGAAATTTGAAGGGCAACTATTGAGTAGTGGATATTTGGGGTGCATCTCAAGGGTCTGAGAGAATGAGAGAATAAGACAAAAAGTGAAAGAAAAGTCTAGGTTGAGGGTCACTAGAAGGAAGAAAAGGAGAGAGAAAGAAGTCATTTTCATATATTTGCTTCTCCAGGATTCCCTTAGAGAGCCTCCTCCTTCCTTTGTTTCTGTGCTGTTTCCTTTCCATCTCTCTTTGGCCTTGCAGAGCCTTCACTTATCCCAGGCCTAGAAGAGACTGCCATTGTTTACTGGTACCACTTCTTTCTGGGCATACAGCTATATTATATTTCCTGGTATCCTGGCATATAGGTCTGATCTTGGAATTCAGGTTGATGGAATGTTGGCAGAGTGTTATAAACAATTTCTGAGCCTGGTCATAAGTGATTTTCTCTCTTTTTCAACTTCATGGCAAGAAAAGAAGGTTGAGGAGAGATCTTCCTAGAGAACTTCTGGCTAGGAACATCTGTGTTAGACTTTATGATAAGTTTTTCTGTTCAATCACTGATAGCTTGTTTTGTTTTTACAGTAGCTATCCCTATTCTGAGCTAATACTGACGCCCTGTCCTACTTTCAAATTGTTACCTCAAGCTCCCTCTCTATTTTCCATCTGGCCAAAATATCTTCCCATGTGTATGTCTTCCATATGGCTCATGTGATATTTGGTGGGGATGTGGAGTGGGGGGGTGGTGTCTTTCTCTCTCACTTGATAAATTTGGGCTCCATGTTGCTACTACTGCTATAACCATTACCCTTTAATTATGTGCAAAGATTGTACTGTTTTCATTAGAGGGGTGGAAGAAAATTTGGAAGATTTGATTTTAAGCTAAGGACAGGGATTGCATATCTTTCCAGATTTATATTTTTTAAATTAAATAAAAGTTAAAAAAAATTAAAAGATATGATTTGACAGGCTTAATGCAATTAAAGCAATCACTTGATTGGCCTCCAAGGTACTGATTTTAAAAATACTTAAATTGAATCATTGAAAAAAGGCTAATACATTTTTATCCTATTATGAGCACATTATTAAAATGAACTTTTACTTTCCAAGGTCAAAACTACCCACTTTGTGTAAAGGTCTTGATGTCAGCATTTCCCACCAAGGCCAGATATGTTGCCTTGAAGAACTTATCTACTGTCTCTTGTACTAGGCAGTGGGGGATGCTTATGACATATTTTAGGTTCTGTAGCCACTTTTCAGGGCATCTGTATACGCAAGATTCATTTTAAATCTTTTAGCACATTTTCCTCATACGGATGTTACTGTTACAGTCCCTTGTGAGAACATGTGTTGGTTATGTTAGAATAAGACATAAAGTAACAAATTGACTTCCTTTCAAACCCTTTAGAAAATTTTAACCCTCAGGAATAGATTCCTAATTAGGTGAATGGAAATTGAGATCTGACTAAATCTCGGGGAGTAAGTGAAAATAGACCAGGGGCAGTTTTCTCACAGAGGTCTCCCTCTGGAGACTCCTCCTGGGGGGCTGTCAGGAAGTCCCTGTACTCCTTTCACTGTCCTTCCAGTTACCTGCCACCATGTGGTGGCTGCACATAGGTCAAGGAGTCCTAGATGAAAAATGAAGGGAGATGGGCAACGGTCCCGCTGTACTGGAAGAAGAGTACAGAAACAAATGTACAAGAATTGGCTATTTATAAGAGGAAGAGATTTATAGAGGGAGATAGACTCTGCAGCTATTGCAGGCAAGGGTAAAAAATTAGCTCATTCAAAATAAATTTTCCTTTTTTAGACCCCAAAGATATCAGGTTTTCTTTCTCCTCTTGCTTTTCCCTCTGTCAACTGCACTCTCTTTGACCTGCTCCTGTCATGTTTCCATGTGCATAATACACCTCTTTATATATAATTTCTCATGTGTTATCTTATTTTGTCCCTACAATAGTCATGTGAAGTAGGTGAAACAGGATTGATCTCATCAGTTTATAAATAAGGAAGCTAAGGCTTTATGGTATATTTTGAATGTCTTACAACTAGTAAGTCTCAAGCGTGGGTCATTTGTTTCTAAATCTCATGTCTGATTCATAAGATATGTTGTTCACGAGCTTCCAAGTCTCTTCATGATCTGCCTCTTCTTTCCTTCTCAAGTCTTGTATCTTCTCACTTTCTCATTTTACAATCTGTTATTCAGTCATAGTGAATATCTTAGTTTCTCAATTTTGCTGCAGCCGTTCTCACTTCTGAGTATTTGCTCGTGCCCTCTGCTTTTGCCTTTAAAACTCTGTCCACCATTTTGTCTGCTTCCCTCTTAGTCAACCTTCACATTTTACCACGTGCGTCATCACTTCCAGGGAACCTCTACTGACCAGTGCTCTGGCTTCCTTTCTGGGTTACCTGCCCTCTTTAGTACCCTCATGGTGTCTTGCTTACCCTGTATATTTGGATTTGTGGTGATTAATGTGTCATAATTATGCCCCCTATTGGTTTGTAAACCACCTGAGAACAGCAGATCACCTCTGTGTTCACAGTATCTGGCTCAGAGTGGGTGCTCCATATTTATTCTTTTACTGAAAGGATAAATGAATGAATGAATATTCCTTGTTGAAACGTACACTTTTTTTTTCCCAACCAGTTTCCAAGTATCCCTTATTATTTTCTTAAATGATTTAGCAAAATAAGAATAACAGTTCATTTGATTTAAGGGCGTGTCCTATATTTATAAAGTGTCTCTAGTCACGGTGTCCTTCTGAGAGCAGCGTGGGCTGGCTGTCACTTTCTGTGAGGAAATAGAATAAAAAATAAAACAAATCCCGTTTTGTTGCTTTTCTGATTCCACTTTTTTTCCACCACCTACTTTTCAGCTCTATTTTTAGCCCATCCATTAAGATTTTCAAAAATTCTCTGTGAACCGTTTGTTACCTATGCAGAACTAACTCACAGGTCAAAATAACAATAAAAATGAAAATTATAGATGTTTCTCATTATGCAGAAAATAATATTTTAATTCTTGGTCTAAACATTTTGCAATCTTAGACCTTGCTAAATTTCCCTGAGATTTTTCCATTCATAAATTTGGTAATGCCTTCTTGCAATTTTTTTTTTGTTCAGTTTTTCAGTCCTGATATGCAACTTTGAGAGGTTGGGCATACTTTGGTAGGAACTGTGTAATCCAAAAGAATAAAAGCCTCTTAAAGGGTATCTACCTTGAACTATGTCCAAGTTTTCTGCAAATGAGCTATATAAAATTTTGCCATATGTTCCTCTTTATATTGATAATTCTGAATAGAGAAAGATGTTTATAAACAATGTAGGTATACTCACCGATTGAGGAGTCATTAGTTTTCTGAATATTCAGATAACTCAATATCTGGCATTGTTTAGTTTACCTAGACAAGTGACATTTGGTTAAAACAAACCTATAAGGCTTATGCTATGGGGCTATTTAAAAAAAAATTTTTTTTGGTGTGGAAAAGGTCTGTGGAGCAGCTGGCCACCAGCTGGAGCCTCATGCTGTTTTATTGAAGTGGAATTGGGACTTTACAAGCTTAATTATAACAAGACTTCACCTGCCTCACAGAATTGGTTACAGCCCCCATTCTCCCAAGGCACCCCCTCTCCTGCCTTCCTTTAAAAAAATTGTTGGTTGCTTTAAGGCTTGTTTTAAATATTTCCACCCAGACCATATATGATCTGAAAGCTTTATAGTGATACTTTTGATTTCATTACAATGACACAAAAGTATAAATGAAATCTAGCTTCTTTTGTATAGGTAAGTTCAGGAATAAGGGTGGAGGAACTTGGAGATAATGGTGAGTAACATATTTAGGTTCACAGAAGGTTATCTATAAATTTGATCTAAGTGATAGATCTGGCTAGGTCTTTTGTTTCAATTAGTTGGTGAGGGAACCATGTGTTCATATCATTAGTTCTTGTATCCTAAGGGTTTACCTGTCTTTCACTTTATGCTTCTCTTAAGCATATTATATAACGCGAGCCTCCCATTTGATTGTAAACACTTCTAGGTACTTCCCAACATAGCTGGTATAGTATTCAGCACAAAACTGACACTTAGGAAATATTGACAGCTTGATTTATTAGAAAAGGTCTATATGAATTTGCGATTGCTGATCACATATTTGAAATCTGAGTTATAAATCCTTGCATTTTCTTTTAGCATGAACTACTAAAGGATGACTAACTGCTATTTCCTTTGTGCTGTTTTTGGTGCATGAATAAATGGCTGCTAACTCCTTTAGGATGATGACTTAGGGGAGAGTTTAGAGAGAGATTTAAAATCACCTTTCAAATATGAAGAGAAAAAAGTAATGAGAATCTCTGGTTGGTGACAATAGTAATAACACAATGTGAAAACATTGGTATAAAGTAATAATCCCTTGTTGCTTTTTGTGTTAAAAGATTTCTAGATCCTGTGTAGCCTGGAAAGGTACAAGGCTACATGAACAAATTACATGTTAGTATGAAATAAGCAGCTTGACCCTTTTGGGCTCATGTTTGTAGCTTTCTTGTCATCAATAAGATAATTACATTTTTATTTGCCTGTAACACTTGGGATTAGAGATATTTATTGGTCTCGGAAAAAGAGTTGGGAACAATTGGTTCAGTCCAACAATATTGCAGTAGATAGGGTTTTCTAAACTGAAAAAGGTGGATGAAAGAATTATCTATGGTATTTACTAGGCACCCTTTGAAAAGGAATTCAGCTGATGCACAATATTCAATGAAGGACAATAAAATGTCATATTGCTTGGGACAGCCTCATGAAGGAACATGGTCCTGCAATAGAAGAAAAGAAACTTTGTTTCTTATTGATGTTATGTGTACTATATTACATTTAATCTGTTGTTTTAAATATCTGAATGATTAAATCCAATTTTTCTCAAGACAAAGTTTCAGATACAAACATACACTCTTCTTTGTAGCATTCTTTGACTTTTCTTCCTACCCACCCCAATCTTCCCACTCCAGTAAGATTATCATCTCCTCCATCTCTGCTAACATCTCTGCTAACAGTGCATTCCTCCTCTCTTACAGCACTTTTCCAATTGCACTGTAATTATTTGTTGACATGTCTGTCTCTCTCACCAGACTGTGAGCTGAGACAGCGTTTCACTTAAATCACTTGGTATACTCACACCCTGGCAGTGCCTGGCACATGATAGGCATACAACAAACGCTGAAAGAAGAAAAAGGAGAAGAGATTAATGAATGAATGTAAATTATTGTCATCTCTGATTTATTTAGCAGTCATATCATAGCATGCAAAAAAGAAACACCCATCTTATTACTTCTTCAGTGTCATGCAGCCTTTTCTGGAAAACTTCAGCTTGCTTAACAGTCTACTCAACTCATACTGCATAATTCCATGACAGTTATCACAGCACTGTAATTAGAGCATAAGCACTATCAACTTATTGTAAATCATACTGAGTTCAAATCTTGGAATCGACAGGTGTAGTTTTATGTTTCCATTGTAATTCACTCATTTTATAAAAAGAGAGGATGTCTAGTTTGATGTATAAAACTTGATAACTAATGGTTACAATGTTATCATTCACTTATATTTACGAAAAGTTTTAATTATCATTTATTCTTAGGAAAAGAAGGAAAGCATTTGTTAAGCGGAGTCATTGAGGTGATCAGGCAAGCTTGTTGATAAATGGCACACTGTTCAAAAACCAAGATTATCATTCACTGTTGTTGAGTAAGTAGGAGGGTAGCTGAACAGCCTGCTGGGTGTTAAATTCATCTTTTGAACAAATGTTTTGGTTTCATTAAAAATGAAAATGCATTCCACCCCAGTTTTCCTGTTATCATGTAAACTTTTGTGTATTTAAGAAAAATGTAATTGTTCTATTTCATTCATTTATACTAGTGTCATTAAAAAGATATTTGGTAATGGATAAGAAGGGGCTCTTTGTTGACTTTACTCTTTATTATTTTAAACCCCTAAAATATTTTTTTTGTTCTAACATTCAACAAACTTAGCCAGTGAGATGGTCTGACAATAGAAAAATTGTCTCCAGTACCTATTTTAGCTTAATAAATGGAAAAGAAATCATTCACTATCCTTAGTAAATCATTTCTATGTAATAGGTTATATTATTGTCTTTATAAACAAATATATTTAAAATTAAACAACACCTAAAATTGCAACCTGAACACTTACAGAACCTTAAGAACGGGAAGCCTAATTTCTTATTCATGGTTAGATTATTACGTTTTTGCAGAATACTTGGAAGAAACCAGAAACTCAATAAATATAGAATATGGATTAATCGATAAATGTATTGACAAATGTAATGGGATAATATAATTTTTTTGTTTTGTGATGAGGTTGGAAGAAAGAAATGCAAAGGTCATTTTCATATTTGAGGCATGTAAGTAAGGAATTTCAACTATTGTGGGAGATCCACAGAGGGAGAAACAGTGACTTGTATGCAATGCATATTTTGTCCCAATGTAGTAAAAATAGGATGGTTGTTCTTACTGGGAGAGAACAAAGCAAAGATTCAATTAAAATGGCAAGAGTTTCCAATCAGCCAGTACTGAGTTTAGAGAAAGGTGGCATGGGAAGATGAGAAGTGCTCACCCTTTTCCTTGTCCCAGTGTTCCTAAGCTGACCAACACAACTGTGGTCTCTGGGGAAGGGGCAACAGCTAAACTATTTGGAAAAACAGTTTTTGTATTCCTGGATCATCAGCATTTATTTTTCTTTTGGACTAGAATTAGTAAACTTTGTAGAACTATTGTCTGGGAGGAAATTTGTTCTACTTACTGTACTCTCACTCTGGACCAGGGGTGTCAAACAGGTGGTGCCTGCTCCACAGTGACTCACCAAATCAGCCAAGAGAGTGTGAAACAACTAATATTGTCATTTATTTTAATTTTTCTCTAAAAGTTAGGAAATAAATTGAGCTTTACTCAGTTTTTTTAAGGTACATTGTTAAGTATAACATACATACAGAAAAGTTTACAAATGAAAGGTATACAGTTAGATTAATTTTCTCAACGTGAACACACATACATTGCTAACCCAGATCAAGAGAGAGGTATTATCAACACCACAGAAGACCCTCCTCCCTCATATCTTCTTCCCATGATTACCCCTCAAGAGAAATCACTATTTTGACTTCTAATACCATACGCTAGTTTTGTCTTTTTGTGAATTTTTACATAAATAGAATCTTTTGTGTGTATGATAGTGTATGTGGCATTTTTCTGCTCATCAGTATGTTAGTGAATTTATCTCTATTGTCACATATTGTTGTAGTTCATTCATTTTTAATGTTGCATATTACTCTAATGTGTGGCTGTACCATAAGTGTGTTCATTCTGCTATTGATGAGCATTTAAATTGTCTTGGTGTTGCCAATTTTTGGCTCTCACAAATAGTGCCTCTATGAAAGTATTGTTATCAACATTTCTGTTGGATGAATCTGTAGGAGTGGAATTACTGAGTTATAAAGTATGCATGTATCAGGCTTTAGTCGGTAGTGGCAAATAGTTTTCCAAAGCGATTGTACCAATTTATACTCCCAAAGCCATTATATGAAAGTTCTAGTGGCTCCACATCCTCACCAACACATGATATAGTCAACTTTTTTATTATAATTCTTTTATGTGTGTAGTGATATTGCATTGTAGTTTTAATTTCTACTTTTCTCATGACTAATGATTTCTGCAATTTTTAAAAGATGTTTCATGGCCATCTAAACATTCTTTTTTTTTTGCTTAAGTATTTTGCTTGTTTTCTTGATTAGGTTGTTGTTCTCTCTCCTTATTGATCTGAAAGAATTATTTGTACCAGTCTGCTATAGTTTGTGTGTTTATATCTTCTAAATCTCATGTTGAAATTTGATCCACAATGTTGGAGGTGAGGAATAGTGGGAATTTTTTGAGTCATGCGAACAGATCCCTCATGAATAGATTAATGCGTTGTCTCAGAAGTGAGTTCTCATTCTTTTAAGTTCCTGTGAGCGTTCGTTGTTAGAAAGAGCCTGACACTGGCCCCGTCTCTCTTGCTTCCTGAAGCCCTTACCAGCAGCTTAGCAGATGCGGGTGCTACACTTCTTGTAAAAGCTGCAGAACCAAGAGCCAAATAAACTCCTTTTCTTTATGAATTACCCAGCCCCAGGTATTCGTTTATAGCAACACAAAATGGACTAAGACACAGGTTTTGCTGATATATGTATTTAAAAATATCTTCTCCCTTTCTGTGGCTTGTCTTTTCACTTTCCTAATGATAAAACACTACTAATTTGCCATATGGAATGACATTGGCATCCTCACCACCTATGCATGTCAGTCACCACATCCTAAAAGTGTGTGGTGGGAAACCGGGAGCTGGATGATGTGCTTAACTGTGGTGTAATCATTTGAATTTTTGTTTTCAAGATATTGCTGTGAATTATAGTTTTAGATATGCATGATTAAATGGACAGAATTATTTATTACCCAGATTTTACTAGTCTTCACAAAATGGGCAAGTGACTGCAAAATATTTTTGCAAAGTAAACCTAAGTTTAAGGCAATCTTAATAGAACAGGCACTTGAATACTGTAAGAAAATGGTTGCCCTGATATCTCTTTTCCAAATAAGAGCTATTCCTCAGTTAATTAAAGAAAATGACAGCCTAATATCTGACAAGTTAGTAAAAAAATGTTTCAGAAAAGCTATTTAAATTTAAGATTTATGTCTATTTTGGTGAACAATGAACCTTGTCCTAACATATTTTTCTTTGATGTATTAGTTAAAGCATAAAGCCACCATGATTAGTACAATATTAAATATGTTTATTTCATCTTTATCTCATTCTTTAAAATTTTCTAGTTTTTGTACATGAAACATATAATTTATAAATAATCTACATCTATTGAAGCCATAACCAAAATAGTTTAATGCACTTCTCTAGAAAATTTAAAACTATGAATGTACCACTAAATAGAAGCATTACCATGCAACACAAAGCTTCAGACAACTTTTGAAATGGAAATTTACGAAGTACTTTTTCCACTTTAGTTAAGGTCTGGCTATTTGAAAAGCATCACAGCGCATCTCACAGTGCGTGTGTGGGAGTGGAGATGCCTGGAACAGAATTCCGATAGGACTGTAAGTGAGAATTCATTGTTCTGAACTCTCTATTGTTCCATAAAACCTGTCTTAAAATATGCTCATGTTCTTGGGTAAGGACTGATTTCTGAGAATGGAATATGCCTCCTGAGAATGGTAGATCTCACATTGCAATGTGGGATTTCTGGGTCCCTGGGAGTATTTAACCATGTCTTTAACTGTGGCAGCAAATCAACCAGTGGAAGCAGTTGCGCCAGGTGGCAGGTGGAACATCTTGGGAAGAAGCCAGCTTCTCGAAAACCACGTTGCAAAGGCTTAATTAGGCTTAGGCAGTCAGATAAGCATTACTTTTCTATGAAACAGTCTAAACACAAATACAAAAATAAATAGTGTAGACAGAAAAAGATGATGAATATAATTTTTCTTTTGCTCATATTCTAGAGATTTTGTAAGATTTGATGGAACTAAGTGGGCAAAAGTATTGTTTGTGGGTATGTTACACGCATCTCCGTTCATCCGATGGAGGAAAATAGCCTAAAAAATCACTGAGCGCATGCTGTGGATAGTTGGCAGGCTTGAGGGAAGCCACCTTGGCTGGATGGGTCTTAAGGGTCTCCAGGGGAGGAGTTTCCAGATTGTGTCAACAACCCCTTGCAGTCATTGCTGGCTCAATACCGGGTGGACACTTTTCCTTCAGCTGAGCCTCTCGTCACTTGGCATGATATGGCCTCCTCTCCCCAACATCCCAAATGCTGTGACTACTTTGGAGGAAAATGGTGGAGAAATGCAAAACATTATTTTCGGAACAAAATCTCTGCAGTCCCAAAGCTTTTGCAAAGCACTGTCTATAGGGGACATATCTGCCACATCTGTTTTTTGTGTGTGGGAGGCACACTGTATTTATCATTTGAGATGAGTCACCTCATAAAGGAGCATAGTTGACTTCAGCTTTTGTGTTGAAAGGGCTCTCTGGTAGAATGAGCTGTAGTATTTAAGCTTTAAGTGGTACATATCTAGGCCTCCTGGTAGCACCCTGCCAAGAGCAACAATAGCTAGAGAGGGATAAAATCTCCTTCTTTCCATTTCCTTTCTGTCTGCCTTTTTAATGATGTTACTGGTGTGGCAGAGGCAGTGAGGATCCTCAAGGGTGCTGCCGTGAGAGACCAAGCCATCGTCCCACACCTGTTCTGGAATGAGAGCAGCTGAATTTGGAAAGGCCAGGAGACACAAAAACAAAGGATAAAAAGAACCAGAAATGTTACAAAAAACAGCAGTGAAATATCTCTAACCAATCATTACACATCCACAGCAGTGGATCCCAGCGATTCTGAAGGATGCCTCTCAGACGGGGTCCCCAGCATGTATCCCTTAGGATGTATCATCTGTTCCCTAAAGATTTATCTTTAGTTTCCCAGATTCTAAACACAAACAGTGACTTTAACAGTCTCTGCAGTTCTATCTGGGGCTCTCAAAAGTTACTTTGTATTATATATTATTCATTGGTGGAAAGAATATTATTTTCTTTCCCTCTAAAATGTTTTTAAGGTATTTCAGTAGCTATTGATAAATTTTAACCTGGAGGTCAGCATGTCTTTCAAAAGAAAATATGGAAGTTCATATAGACTGGCTTTCTCTTCTACAGGGAATTTGTTAGATTTATTTTCTATATCTCTATACCTGGTAAGAATCCCCACGTAGGCCAACGTAGTTCTATGCGACATAAGTCACAGATAAAACAGTCCTGAATCTGTGGGTAAAATAGAGCCATAATATTGTCCCACATAACTCACTCTTTTACTTCCAGCTCCTACCTTCACGTTCTGTTCAAAAAGAGAAAGAGAGATAATCCAAGTGATAATCAGGTCTACTTCCCTTTACGGAGAGTTGCAGAGTCAGTGTACAGACACAGGGTTTAGCTGACACCTCCTGCAGTGCTTTTGCTGTTAAAATTGAGTGTTAAGGAGGTATGGGTCATAAGTTCAGTCCCCACTGATGTCCCGTTATCTTTAATAACGTGGAGATAAGCTTTTCCATATGGCCTATTTTGAGTTAGCTTTATGATGAAATAAATTGCATGCTTCTGTTTAGATGGTTTGACACAGTAATGATCTCTCCTTCTATTTCTTCCCAAAATATGTATAGACAACATTGTATTCATCCTTGTTTTTTACATTCTCTCCTTACTCTTTCATTTGGGTTTAAGTAATAAAGTTCCTCTTAAAATGTAAACATAATTTGGAAGTTATCAAGTATTAATGGACCATCAATGTTCAAACTTGTCTACAGGATTTTCCCCCATTATGCAGAAATGTGAGGAAATGGAATTCTAGAGATGCAAGTTGTGATAAAGGAAAAAGGCCAAGATGAAAGAAATACAGCACAGTTTCTAAAGAAAGAAACTGTGGTTACCTTATGTGGCCCAGAGAAGCAAGCTGGACCTGGGTATCTGATGGCAGGAAGGTACCAATAACAAAAGAAAGAAGAAGCACAGAAGAGTCCCCAGGAGAAAGAGGTCTGCTTCTCAATTTTGCTCACTCTGCCTCTCTGTTATTCTTGTAAAAGGGTGGCATTGGTTGTAAGGGGGACCTGCGAAGAGATTACGGATGGCTAAACGACCCCACGAGTAGAAAAATACTGAAAAGTGTCATAGTGTAGGTGAAGAAACTCAAGTGAAATTATTCAGAGCAGATCACAAATATTTCAGACCACATAATGCACTCAGCATTGTTCCTAGAGCATCATAAACACTCAATGTAAGTTTTACTTCTCCTTCCTCTCCTTTTCCCCCCCTCTCTTCTGCCCCTTCCTTCTTCTTTTTCTTTCCTTTCTTCTTCCTCTTCTTCTCCTTTTCCTTCTTACTGCTGTTGTTGTTACTTATTTTCATTATTTCTCCTTCCTTTACTTTTCCCATCCTGACAATAGAGATCCTACCCAACCATTCATGTAACTTCATTAGTATGTGAGTTCTACTTCCTTCATTAAGCTTTCTCTGGCTAATCCTAACCTGCATCGACCTCCTATTTGGGGATTAATATCTAGTTGCACACTGTCTTAAATTGTTCCTTGTTACTCCAATTATTATTTAATCCTGTCAGATGAATAAAGTGACAAATACTTGACAGCTGAAACCATAGCCTTGTTTCTCCGTATTCACCACAGTAATTAGAACAACGTTCAATATATATAGTAGGTCCTAAATAAATCTTTATCGAATAAATCATAGGTATTTAATAATTACTGGTTGTTTCACTGTCTTCCATTTGTATGATCAGAAAGGCACATATATGTTACTGTATTCTGAAGAAAAGGAAAAAAAAGATTTGTTAATGTTCACAATTTACTTGGAACACCGTTATTTCTATCCTGCCCTGTTAAAATTGTTGTTCTGGCCAAAACAAATGGAAACAAATGAATAAAGAAAAGTCTCCAAAAGAAAAAAGATAATAATAAAAAAAGCCAAAAAAAAAAAACCGCAAAAAGTGCAAACACTTGTGAAATGAATTAAAATAAAAACGATGTATGAATTTAACACAGATAATTAGAGCATAGATTACAGCTGGGAAAGAATTCCTCAGTTAAGGTTATGTTTATTATCCTGGAATTGAAGCAAATATTTGAAATAAGTCAATAATGGATAGAGCAGCATCTGATTTTTTCCACATAACCCATTTTAGATCAAGAGTGCTTTGTGGCGAGAACATGAAATCAGTTGAGACCAGCTGACCTTTGCAAAGAATTGTGGCTGCTTAACTTCATAGTTCACTTCATATTATATTTGAAACATGAAAGAAAAATCTTCCAGTCCCCATCTGCGGAATTAGTCCCCTCTTTTCCTTCAAAGTCCAAACAGAAAACCGCCTCCACCACTAAAGCCTTCAAATGGAAGAGGCATGTTCACACCATGTTCTGTTGTGTTAGAACAGTGAAACAACCAGTTTAACTCTTCTGATTAATTTAGGCAAACAAGAGAACAATTCAGTTAAATATGATTACATATGCAGCAGGACCCAGTTTTAAAATTTTTTTCTCTATTTTCATAGTTTATCAGATTAGCTTGGAATTAAGCATACAGTAAAGAGTGATTTTTTTTCATGTTTAATTTTTCTACTTAGGGATATAAACTCCACACAGTATCTTCTAAGATTACAACCTATTTGGCCCGATTTTAAAAATCATTCAGTTCTCTTTGGAGAAAATTAGAACTTTTTCTAAATGCTTGATAGTAGAATGCCTTCAAGCACTATTATTACCATAACTCTTGTTCAAATTCAGTAGTGCAGACCTGCACAAAGCTGAAAAAAGTACTGGCAAGAGAGCCATTTCTTTCTCCACCAGGTCCTGTTCCTCAGCACTTCACAGGCAGGCCATAGCTGGACAAATATCAATACCAGTCTCCTCTAAATACTGGACTAAATGAGATAGTTTATGGAAATTCTGCCACAAAGACATACCCCTGGCATGGTGGAGTTGGGCTTGGCGTTGTGCAGTATGCTTTCATGTCTACATCTGTGTCTATTTCTCTGCATCTGTGAACTTGAATTGTTCTCCCTTTAACAATTCTGTTCCATTGTTCCATAATTCTGTTCCACAATTCTGTTCCACTGTTCCATAAATAGAGAGGAGTTCTACCTCCTCTCTCTTTAAGACAGCATTATCATTTTTTAAAAAAATGTTTTCTCATGAATGCAAACACTGCTCTCCCACAAAGAATCTGAACATTCATCATCCTTTCCTATAGACATCTCACCTCCCATTGATTAAGTGGGGTTCCAGTGAGAACTGGCTTATCTTTGTACACTATTTCTTGATCAATGAACTAGCTGTGTGAGCAAGTATGGTGTACACCAAAAAGACAGACATTTTTTTTTTAATTTTACTTCATTTTATGTTCACATGTTAATAAGTGGGGTGAAGAGACCTTGCCTTCTGAAGCACCTCCCATTTTCATCACTTTAAGGCCATTGCCTCTCTCTATGTGACCTTAAAACATCACAGCTATTGTCTACCACACCCTGGAATTCATTTCAGCTTACATAAAGGGCTTGGCGAAAAACCTTTCTTTCCATTGTGTTTCTTACAATCTTCCTCAGGAACTTCAAGGCTTACACTTTTGACCCTGAAGATTCCTTGAACTGGTTCCTTTCCACTCCTGACCCCAAGGACCTACAGCTCATTGCTTCCCAAGCCAGGCAGCCTGAACTTTGTCTTCACAAGTCAATACTTGTTCTGAGATCTTTAACTCTGTGTTTCCCTGCCTCCATCACAAGTTTTTACTTGTACCCTTCCCCATTTAACCCAACATTTATCCACTGTCCTCTTCAGCACCTTCCCATCCTCAAATGGTGACTTGTCTCTCCTTTCTGACTTGGCCTTTTACTGTTAGCCTCTCTGATCCTTTTCCCTGGCGCACTCACCAAATGTCAACCCTAGGTAACCTCCACCAATGGCTTTCCCTGTTTTTGTTCGTTTGTTTGTTTTTTGAGATGGAGTCTCGCTCTGTTGCCCAGGCTGGAGTGGGAGTGCAGTGGTGCTATCTTGGCTCATTGCAACCTCTGCCTCCCAGGTTCAAGCAATCCTCCTGCCTTAGCCTCCTGAGTAGCTGGGATTACAGGTGTGCACCACCACACCTGGCTAATTTTTGTATTCTTAGTAGAGATGAGGTTTCACCATATTGGTCAGGCTGGTCTTGAACTCCTAAGCCTCAGGTTATCCACCCACCTCGGCCTCCCAAAGTGTTGGGATTACAGGCATGAGCCACATCACCCGGCCTTGCCTAACTATTGATGACACTCTACTTGTTGCCTAAATATGACACTCTACTTTTAGTCTAAGTGAACCCGTTCACTTGCTTTTGACTCCCACTAACTATATCCTGTCAATTTGTATTGTAGGTCTACAGTCTGGTATCTCCTTTGGCCTTCGGATTCATATATTTCACCACCTCCTAGTTAAATCCATTTGGATGTCTGCTTCATCATGTTCAAAGACAGCATGTTCAAAGTGGATCTAAATTTTTTTCTCTCTCCAAACCCACTCTTCCTTCTCATGTTTCCTATGTTAATTAATTGCAACATTATTCATTTACTCACTGGAGCCAGAAATGTGTAGTCATCCTAAACCACTTCCTCTCCCTCATCCCCCACATACAATCAACTAGCCAATCCTACCAATTTAATCTCATAATTATTTCTCGATTTCTTCCTTTACTCTTTTGGTTCTGTTCATCATAATTGTGTACCTGGAATATTTCACTAACCAAACCCCTGCTCTTCCTGATTGCCAGTTGGCTTCTTAGGATGGCATTGCCCTTCTGCATCCTGGGTGCTGCATCTGAAACACAAATCTGGCCAGGCCATTTTCATGCTTATAAACTTGCCATACTTCCTCACTGTTTATTAATTACATCAACAAGTTTCTTAATACAGCTCTTAGAACTTTCACAATCTGGCTGCTTTCTGGGATTTTAGCATTTTCTCCCATCATACCTTACCTAAATAATTGGCTAAAACTGAACTCATGATTTATTTTTTATCACCTTATTCCCCAAACATATACCTCCGTCTACATTAACTATCATTTTATCCAATCTTCTAAATTAGTAAAAAAGTCAATACATACTCCTCTACCTCACTCACCAAGAATCCCAAACAATAGCTCACCTAATTTGATTACTTTTATGCCAGAAAGTATCACTCCATTCTAGACCCTCCACTCTATTCCCCTTTTAACATTTCTTCCGTGAACTACAAAAGCATCTCGGTGCCGAGTTTAGCTTTCTCAGCATTGATGACTCCACTCTGTGTTGTGAATTTGGGTGCCATCCTAAAAATATTGAACATTCCTGGAAGAAAAGGATATATAAGAGGTATATCATATATGTTACCATGAGGTCCAAAGTAGGCACTTCATCAGAAATTATTTACATAGGTCAATTCATAAAGGGAAGGATAGATATAGGCAGATAGATGATTGATAGATAGATAGATAGAACTGAACCACTCAACCAATGTTCACGGATCCAGAGTGACATTTCTTTTCCAGTTTTTTGGTAGCAGAAGGGACCAGTATAACACAAAGGTAAAAAGCATCTTTTTTCTTCTAGCCAAGAACCATGGGGAATTTACTATAAAATAAAGGAACATAGCAAAATGTTCACCTAAAAATCTTCATGCCACCTATATTCATCTTCTTACCCACACAGTGATATAAATATGCAGAAAGTGTTTTGAAGTTTTTTAGGCATTCATGAAAAATATAGACAGCTGACCCACAAAATTTGTGAAAAATATACATTCAAGGGAATCTTTCTTTCTAGGAATTTGGTGCTCCCTATATTTGATTTGACCAACAATACTTTTAAAAAGCTTTCTAGGGAGTAATTTACTTGAAAATCTTGTTACTTTCCTTTTCTCCCCTCTTGCCAATTCAGCAAAACAGCTCTAAGTTCAAGTCTTAAATTGAGGCTCAATGAAAAGCTACCTGCTTTTAATAATTCAATAGCTTCACAAATGGTCTCTCTAGGAATGAACCTAAATGCAATATATATTTCTAATGAGAGTGAGAAACTTAGAAGAAAGTGGAGAAGTGGGCCTGCTTAAGAATTGAAGATAGTATATCGATGCTGTCTCTTTCACAGTTTAATTATCAACTACAAAAAAAAAAAAAAAAAGACTACTTAAAATGTCCAGAAGAAAGGTTTTTCCTTATTTTGTTGTAAGGTGCAGATAGTTCATACTTTTCACCAGTTCAATTTGGGAGTCCTGCTTTTCACCACACCTCTTTACTGGACACTTAATAATAAAGACTCATATTTCACTTTTCACCAACCATAGCTACTTATTTGGTGGCTTCCATTCTCATGTGACAGCACATGCATAATCAGGATGTAATACAAGACCAGCCAGGCGAGGCCTTACAGTAATCTTCTTTAAGTTGCATTTGCATCAAACATATTGTGTCTAAAAGTGAGAACTGCCTTTAATGTTGGCAAGTTGATGATAGGGAAGAAAAAAAAATGTCTGAGTGTTCTGAGAGGATAACTTTATCTTGAGTGTAGGTTTGTTTGGAATGTCAGTAGCCAGTCTGAACAAAGAATTCCTTGTATGGTGAAGACGCCTTTTGAATGTATTTTTTTTTTTCCATTGAAAAACTGAAGAACATGGTCTCTGGAGAGAAAACAGTTTTAAAAAATTAACCACACTTTGGATTGCTGGCATTTACAATTAATATGACTTTTATTTTCCCTGGTTATCCAAATGTCAGGTATATGTCATTTTGATTCAATTATCGACCTTCAGCATTTTTCCCATACCACTAACTTAGGCAGTCTAGACAGTGTGTTTGCTCTCTGGGAAGTGGGTTGCTTTCTGGGAACTGATTTCTTTTGGATCATGGAGGAAGTCTCAGCAGACCTGGATAACTCTTCCCACATACTTCTTTGTGCCAATATATTTCAATATCTCTGATGCCACAATAAATTAATACATCTGTATCATATTAATACTACATTAGAGCCACACAACGGTAACATGATACAGTAGAAACATTGCTAAGCCCCTAAAGCTTTCACATGGCTCTGTTAGATGAAAACCATCACAGTCAGTTCCAGCTCACAGACCTTAGGTCTGTGAAAAGGCAAAACAGACAGAGTGTTGGGTGTTTTGAGTAGTATAACGATCTTGTTATCAACACCAACACTGCTGTCCAGAGATAAGGAAAGCAGACAGTCAGACGAGCTACTCTGTGGGCCCTGTGCTTTTTATAACCCCCGATACCCTTCTCCTTTGCATTATTGGTTTGTCATCCTTTGGATAATTGTTCATAAATCATTGCTGAAATTGCTCAGGACTCCATAACATTTCTTGCCAAAAAGTATTTCACCAAATATTTGATAGATTTTCCAAAATAATTTACTCATAAGAGACTTGGATTTCACATTTACAAAAGAGAAAAAACTTAAGGCTTTTTCTAAAAGCCAAGTTGGCTGGATATAATTTTATTTCCAAAGTGAACAACACATATACATGAATCTTAACTAGACCTAGGATTTTTTTTTCTAACCACATTCTTAAATATCCATCCCCTGCTTCTAGTTGGGTCTGGGCATAGTATATTTCTCTTCTATGGAAGTTGATTCATTTTCCAAAAGTTTCCAAGGAAATAAATACCATAATTTTGGGGTTAATTAAATGTATTGTTTTATAAGAACTTTACAAGTACTAACCTAAACTTTTTATGCTGCAATTGAAATTCATTGTTCTGTACTTTTACCATCATAAATAAACATTAAAAACAGCTGCTTACCTCTGCCTATTTCTTTTCACATCCTTGAAGAATGTGGATAGGTTTGCCCCTTCATATTTCTACACTAAATCGGCCCAGTATCTGTGACTTTTATTTAGACAGACAATTTTCCAACCGTTTAATCATTTTCATTGCTCTTCTTTGGACTTGTTTCAAACTCTCTTTCATTGGGGGGGCCCCAAGTGGTCACAGTGTTGTGGTACAGTGCTGACTAAATGGGAAGTTACTTCATTGGAAACACATAGCATGAGCTG